CCCCTGCATTCTTTTCTTGGGGTCACTCTGCGGGCAAGTGTCGGGGTGGCTGTGGGTTGGGATAGGCGTCGCCGGGCTTTTTGTTGAAGGCTGAGCTGGGGCTGGGGCTGACGTTAAACGTGCGCAGCGCCAACGAGGCAACCCTCAAACGAACGGTCGCGCCGGCGGACGTGTTCCATGCGCTGACGGAGTTGGAGTTTGATTCGTTCCGCGGGCGGTTGGAGAAGGAGTTGGATGCGTTTACGGAGTTGAAGGCCGGGAAGAGGAGGGGGAAGGGTCAGGGGGATAGTTCGGGGACAGCGGTGGCGGTGGGAGAGAAGGGTGCTGCTGGTGCTGCTGCTGCTGCTGCTGAGATGATGGAGGTGGATGAGGAGGACGAGGATCGCGGGGCGAAGAGGGTTAAGAGGGGTGCTGCTGCTGCTGCTGCCGCTGCTGGTGCGAAGGATGATCAGAAAATGTCGGATGGGGATGAGACGCAGGAGGAGCCGGGGCGGGGGGATGGGGATGGGGATGAGACGGAGGAGGTGGAGGAGGTAGAGGAAGGGGATGACGAGGATGAAGACGACGACGAAGACGAGGAGGATGAGGACGAGGAGGACGGCGAGGAGGAACCCAAGGAGGAGGACGATATCGACCGGGTCGAGGATCTGGATGGAGGCGACGCCAGGCATCGCGCCAGAGTCATGAACCCGGATGTCGACGGAGATGAGACCGACAGTGAGAATGAGTCTGGGCCCGGGAACCAGCTGAGGGGGGAATTGGGTTAACCACTTTCCAGGAAAGATTCGTGTCTAATGCTTGCAATGTACAAATGCGTGTTGATACCCAAATCAACTACAGTTATCCTAATACTGCAAAGTCGTCATATGCCATAGAAATTGCCTCCGACAACGCCAGCGGTTGCCATATTATGCATTGTGATAGTACAGTTGAACCCGTAGGCTCAGGTAGAGGTAGAAACAACTGAGCTAAGCCAGAGCGGACGCAGCCCTCCCTTCCATCAATAAATGCTCTCGTGGACATCCTCCATTTCCTGCCGTACACCTGAAACGCCAGCACCCCGAATAGTCTATCATTGGTATCTCCGTAAACCAGATCCGAACAAATCCCCGACTGAAATCCCGCAAAAACAAAACATCAAGCAGTATTTACGCAGCCGGCTCGTTGAGAAGGCTGCTCATCCCATTGGGAACCGATTTCGGCGAGATGGTCTCCGGCTGTTGCCAGCGGCTGGTGCTCCGAGGAGGCGTCGATTCGCCCTTGCCCACCAGCTGAGGAACCATCGGGCCATTGTTGCGCGCAGCGCCCGGAGGCAGGGGAACCATCGGCTTGTTGTCTTCCTTCTCCAACTTGACAGCCTTGTCGCCGTCGGCCGTGATCTTCTGCGCCTTTGTGACCTTTCCGAAGTTGTTGATCTTCGAGTTCTTGGCCGGCTCTGTCTTCCTCGTCCGCTTCTTCGGCACAGTTTTCTTGGGCGCGGCCTTCTTCGTGCCGTTGGTCTTGGAGGCCTGGAGGACGTCCTGAAGACTGCGTCCGCGGCTAGCGGGATTGGGACACGCGGATTTGGATAGTGCCTCGGACGAATCCTTCGAAATCTCCTCGTCATGGCTGGAAGACGGAGTAAGAAACCCAGTAGGTGTGCGCTGCTTCTTCCGGGGCGTCTGGATGACAATCTCGACTTCTCCTTGCTCATTTTTCACCCGCTCGGCCTCGGACAGATTGCATTCATCAAATACCTCCTCTGGAGCATCCCAGCGCTTGAGCCCTGCGAGCCGAGCGACTTCTTCGCAATCCCCTTTGACCATCAGATCCCAGCAGTCCTCGAATTCTTTCCCACTGGGGGGTTCGTTGTTGATCCACATGGTCACACCGTTGCGACGACTTCGAATCACCGAGCACAGGCTCTTTACTAGGCGACGGACACCGGGGATTTTCAAACTCGTGCCCACCACAATTAAAGCATCCGGGCGAGAGCGAATGTCTGCATTCATGACGGAGGTGATGGCTTCTTCATCCGGGTTGTGTTCGTTGTAGAGGACGAGGCGCGGTCGCATCTTGCCGATCCCGTGACTTCGCTGGCCCGTGTCCATGCGGAATTGGTTGTTGATGACGCACTCGGGACACTCAGGGGCATCCGGCCGATCGAACAAACTCCCATCAAAGTTACTCAAATGGCGGCACTTCTGACACACCATTTTCTCGAGACTGCCGTGCAATTGGATGGTGCGCGGCCATGGCGCTTTGACATTAAGAGGAATCTGGGTGGCCAGCGGGGGCATTGATGTCTCAATCCCATCAATGTTCTGAGTGTAGAGGCGCGTCAGGCGGTTTTCCTGGCCCAAACGAGCCAACATGTGGTGGAACGCGGTCGGGGAGGTGTTGGCAGCCTCCTCCGACAGCGACCGGACCATGTCCTGGAAAGAAGCGGTCAAGGTTTCATCCTGATACACCGCAGCATCGAAGAGGAGCTTTCCCGACGCTTTGAGGTTGTGTTTCTTTTGAAGAGTTTTGAAGAGACCATCGCTGGAGCGGAAATCGGGAACTAGCAGGAACAATCAAATTAGAATTAAATGCCGTCATTGTGGTTTG